ATAATAATAATAATAATAATAATAATAATAATAATAATAATTTCTTCTATCCCACCCTTTCTCCCAATATTGGACTCAAGGCGGCAAACAGCAGATTTAAAACAATACAATTTAAAAACGACATTAAAATGTATAAATATTTTAAAAACCAATTAAACCATTTACAAAGTTAAAACAATTATGAATTAAAAAAGAATATGTTAAAAATATGAAACCTTAAAATTTAAATAGCAGAGCATTCCAGTCCTTAGCAATTTGGCCCAAGAATGTCTTTATCTGCCACCAGAAGGACAGACAGCAGGGATGGAGCCATCCTGACCTCTCTAGGAAGGGAGTCGAAAGCTTGGGAGCAGCCACTGAGAAGGCCCTCTCTCTTGTTCCCACCAAATGTGCCTGAAAGGGTGGTGGAACAGAGAGAAGGGCCTCTCCCAATGATCTCAATACTCTGGGGGCTCATACAGGGAGATACGGCCCTTCAAATAGCCTGGATCCAAGTCATGTAGGCCTTTATAGGCTACAACCAGCACTTTGATTTGTGCCTGGAAATGGACTGGCAACCAATGAAGCTGCTGCAACAAGGGAGTTGTATGCTCCCTGTAGTCAACTCCAGTTAACAGCCAGGTTGCAGCCCTTTGGACCAGTTGAAGTTTCTGAGCACTTTTCAGAGGCAGCCCCAAGTACAGTAGTTCAAACGGGATGTAACCAAAGCATGTACCACCGTGGCCAGATTGACTTTTCCAGGAATCGGTGCAGTTAGGGCATGAGTTTTAGCTGTGCAAATGCACTTTTAGTCACTGCTGATACCTGGGCTTCCAGGCTGAGCGCTGAATCCAGAAGTACCCCCAAACTACGATCCTAAGTTTTCAGGGGAGTGTCACTCCATCAAACACAGGCTGAATCCCTATTCCTGGATCTGTCTTTTGGCTGACCAGGAGCACCTCTGTCTTGTTTGGATTAAACTTCAATTACCGGTTTAGGAAAGGAACAGCTTCCTTGGAATTAGGTGGAAAGTTTTGGAGTTACTCCAAAATGCCAGAGAACCGCTTCCAGCAGTTTCATGTAGATGTTAAAAAGCACAAGAGACAGGACTGAACCCTGAGGGACCCCACTGGCCAAGGAGTTGAACAGGAATCCCCCAACATCACTTTCTGAGAGCGCTCCTCCAAGAAACAATGGAGCCACTGAAGGAAACCGTGCCCCCAAGCCCCATTCCAGAGAGGCGGCCCAGAAGGATACCATGGTCAATACTATCGAAAGCCGGTGAGAGGTCCAGTAGAACCAACAGGGACACACACACCCTGTCCAGTTCCCTGTCTAGGCCACCCATAATGTTACTCCTACTCCTACACCCTAAAACCAGTCTAACCTGGATCAAGATAATCTGTCTCATGCTGGAAGCCCTGGAGTTGAGA